CTGGGGACTCTGGGGGGATTGTTTTTGAGAACAGAGAGCAGGGAATAGTTGATGTCAGTGACCGAAAGCGACATCATGCAGGACAATTTGGGACTCTAGGGGGCTCTTATGAGGAATAGATTGGTAGGCAAACTTGAGGCCAGTAACCCAAAAAAGACATCTTTCAGGACGATTCGGGACTCTAGAGGGATTGTTATAGGGAACAGAGTAGGGCGTAGTTGAGACCAGTGACATGTGCAGTGCAGCATTTTTCCCGCCAGCCTTCTTGTACTTAACATAAAAATAAAGATTCAGTTCAGTTCAGTTTTGCGAGGTGAACATGCTTTTCCGGAATGATGCCCACTGTTGGCCGCATAACTGCCGCTGACCTGCATCACCTTTAGCTCACGAGAAACGAATGCACTGCTAAAACTGAAGCAGCTTCGTACTAAGGGGTCTATAGGGGCCCGTAACCCGTGTGCTCCGATTTGGGCGCACGTAAAAGAAACCCAGGTGGTCAAAATTTCCGGAGCCCTCTACTACGGTGTCTACCATAATCATATGGTGGTTTTGGGACGTTAACTCCTAATTATCAATCATTATAAGGGCCCGTAAAACACCTCCAATATTTTTTCAGACATATCAACTAAACGCACGCATCGTGTGCAGAATGCCTTCGCGATTAAAGATTCTACACGTGGCTGCGCTATGAGCCGCTTTTGCGCCCCAAATTCCAGAGAACATTCCTTCCTTCTTTCCAGGCCTTTCAGGCCTTCGCATGACGCGCCGTTCTATATCTCTGATGCACTGAGCCAAATATGGTGCGACTGATACAGCAAGAGCCTACAGCTTCCGGTCAGTCTGCAAGCAGCTGTCCGCGCTGCTTGTGGTTCGTCGCAGTGCCCGCGTGCGTGCAACACGTACGGGGCACGGCGTGCCCTCATACGGCTCCGTCGCGTTGGCGATCTTTTGATGGCGCACGCGCAGCGCAGGGTGCATACCGGCACGATCACGGCAGCCACGGTTCACCAAAAAGCACGCAGCTACATCGCAACTGACGGATGACGGACGCAGTCGCGGCGACCGGAACTAGGCGGTATTTCAAGCAGTGCGTCAGTGATCACGTACGCCACGCGAGATTGGGAGGGGCATGGGAGGGGTGTTTGGCAAGAGGACAAATCGGCTTGAACGAGGATACCAGCGGAAGGGATCACAGGAGAGAGCAAACGTAGTCATCGTCGTGGTTCCGATAATCAAGCGCATCAAACTCCGCAGTTACTGCACCGTTTCGAAAAACTCTCACGGCTCCATGTCCGTCGCGCACTCGTGCACGCTTTCGCCACGACAAATGAATTTCGGCCTCTTGGTGGTTTACGGCCCTTGAAGGAAGCTGGGCAGCCTTCTTTTAGATGCGGAGCATCTAATACTCGAGGCTTGTAGTGCGGCGCCGTCCGCAAGCTTCCTCCTCCTTCTTCCACCATCTGTGCATCCCTTCCTCCTCTACACACCGCGCGCGCTTCACTCCTCCACCATCTGTGCACACTTCCTCCTCTACACACCGCGTGCGCTTCTCCTCTTCACGAACATTCGCTAGCCGTATAATGTAGCGCGCATGCGCCGTCACGCTTCGAGAACATCGGCAGCTGACGCACGTGCATGCGCCGTTGCGCTTCTCCCCCTTCTCGAACATTCGACAGCTGACAGTGCATGTGCCGTCGCGCTGTATATATACTCAAGGTCGGCGCTCGCTCGCTCAGTTGCCGCTCGTCGGTTGGTTTGTACGGCGCGTTGACGTCCAAGGTCGCGGTGAAATGAATTCCAACGAATCCACAAACACAATGATCGACGTCCCTTCGACCAGCGCCGCCCTTTCGCATACGTGTGTACGTGTTCACTCATTTAACACCCCCTCCTACAACCACGTTAACCAATTTAGCCATCTACCCAAGTAAGTCGCAATTTAACACCCCATTTCACAACCACGTTAACCAATTTAGCCATCGACCCAAGTAAGTCGCACTTTAACACCCCGTTAACCAATTATATGCTCCGCATCCTCCTCAGTGTTCCCCCGAAGGAAGCTGCGGGCAATTTTTTTCGTTCAACGACTCGTTCTTTCTCTTTCGTGTTCACCAGTTCTTCCTGTCATTTATTTTAAATGCGAAGCATTTCTTAGCGAACTTTGTTGACTATGAGCGTATCTATTTATCTAGCCGCCTACGCATTTTAGCACTCCTGGCCGTCTCGATTATGGTATTGACACTGAAATTTGTATGTTATAAAATGACTGCATGGCAAACACACTTGACTAGTCATAACATGAATATCATGACATGCATGCCATGACTCTCATGACTTACATTTAATAATCTTTCTGCCCTTGCGATGGTTTCGTTCACATGACATATTGCAAAACTGGCATGGTATGACATGACTGCATGACAAACATTAGGGAATTACTAAAACGTAGAAATCATGACATGCATGTCATGTAAGTCATGACTGCAAACCACGCTCATGGTGCTCTCGCGGTCATTTCGCTAGCATCACATATACCATATTTGGTAATACGGAACGTAAACGAATCATGAAGGCCCATGACTGGTTCAAACATGATAACCATGAGATGTGTGTCATGTAAGACCATCACTACATGCCACGCTCATGATGCGCTCGCGGCCGTTTGGCTAGCTTAACATATACCATATTTGATGTTACGTGATGTCAATGATTACCGAAGGCACATGACTGGTGAAAAATGATAATCATAACATGAATGTCATGTTCCACATTTCCGCATTACATGACTACATACCAGACTCATGATGCGCTCGCAGCCCTTTCGATGCTTCACATGTACAAAATTCGGTATTGACATAAAAGGACGGTGAAGGTAAATTACATTTATTTTATTTATTCAACCTTGAGGGCCCGAAGGCATTACATACGGGGGGGGGGGTCGAACATCTAGGTAGTAAGTTTCTAAGCAATGTTGGAATATGAGGGTACACACTGATTACAATGAATAAGCAAATAAGGAACACAAGCGGAAATAACACGCATAACAAAACATAAAAAGAATATGATGGGTGATAAATAAATTCTGGGAGTATAGTAGAACAACTATAAACGCAATAGTTAATGTGCTGTTAGGACATCGCATTTGGATTTTGGAAAAAAAGTTAGTTTTTTGCGAAATGTTGAGCAGTCCCTGCAAGAAACAATATTATCTGGCAGCGCATTCCAGAGTGTTACGGCATGGGGTAAAAATGAGCTGCTCATCGCCGTCGTCCGGCATTTTGTGGTCATTAGAGGGTGCATATGGGACAGGCGAGAGGACGTTCTTAATGGGCGCTTTAGGAGAGGGTGTCCCGACCTACTAAAGTAAAAGAATGTTTGAAGGAGGCAGATACGAGAGGTTATGCGACGTGAAGCGAGCGATGCGACTGACAACGTTTGTTTTAGTGCGGTTACGCTGATATGCCTTGAATATTGTGACGTAATGCAACGAGCTACGCGATTTTGAACGGCTTCCAAATCATCGGTGAGATAAGCTTGTGAAGGATGCCAGATGGATGACGCATACTCGAGCTTTGGTCGCACGTGTGTCAGATATGCGAGTTTCTTTATGTCAGGAGTTGCAGATCGCAGGTTACGCCGTAAGTAGCCTAATGTGCGGAAAGATTTAGAACGAATGGTTTCAATGTGTTTCACCCATAATAGTGATGATGTCAGATGAACTCCTAGGTACTTGTAAGTGCACGTGTTATCAATGGGAACGAAATTACTGCAGTACGTTTCATGTGAGGTGCTGTGTTTACGTGTGAAGGACATGACCTTGCATTTAGTGGGGTTCGAGAGGCCGAGTGCCAGAACTAATGGCGTACCGATCCGGCAGCCATCCATGCACCTCTGAATCACTAGCAGGGATGCAAGTGCCGGTGGCGGGCGGATCTTGCAATTAACTAGGCCACCGAGTTAACTCGTGATACGCATGCAGCAACGCCGAGCCGAACTAGCACCGTTCCGGGCGTTACCGGGATTGCGGGAGCGCGTTCGAACGCCCGCTTTTTGCCGGAGTATTTCCAGCGTCTATGATTACTTGTGGTTCGAGAGCAACCCCTGTGATTAACCCTTTAAGGCCTCAACTATTAAACTTCCAAGCAGAATAAAAATTGTTTTCGCCTTACAGCTTTAAAGAGCAACCTTTAAATGATTCTGCAGTTTATGGCTACATCTAAGACGTAACTTTAATGCATAACTTATGCATGTCATGAATTCTCTATATGCCGCAGAAGTGAGGACCTTGCTTCGAAAAACGTAGTTAAGAATTACGAAACATGTCATGTGCCACTTCTTGGTAGCATACACACCAAATAAACAAAATGATTCAAAATGGAACTTGCGTCACACAAGCGAGAGCGAGCGAAGAAGGGAGAGCTGCTCTACGCCACCAAAACAATTGGTTCTAGCATGAAATACCTTATACGAGAGGCCGCCATATTTTTCATGCTGAAAGCTACGTTCTCCATGAGTATACCTGACAGCCGGCATTTGAGGCGTCATGCATTTCCTGACTTGCTTGCTTGAAATATCTTGGTATGTCGAGAATTCACAACACTAAGTATAGGGTTAACGCATTGCGAAATGCATTCAACCACTCATCACACTGATTCATGATTATGATCATGCGAGGCACAATGTGGGGCATTGAAATAAATACTGTGAAAAACCCGAGCCAAACGTTTGTCGAACCTGAGTACGGATCACGAACATGTAACCAATAATTGTGGAAGCCTTCAATGCACTGTCGGGTTGAACCCATGCTTAAACACCGGAGCCACACGTTTAATAGGTGACTGGTTAACCATTTGTGCACATTGCTTAGGCGGGGATTTTCCAAAGGGCACCACAACCACTATCCACATCCAGGTGTTCGAAGAACAAGCGGAACAATATTTCCCTTTGATATGCTTGCGTTACAGCAAGTGAAGACGACGGCAGCACGGACCGGACTTTACCTGCACGAGCTTGAGCTTGAGCCTCACTTCTTCCTCGCTCTGGTTGTCGATGTCGGCTTTGAGACGCAAACTCTCGCCACAGCAGTAGGCAGACCGTTCGAGGGCGCTACGCAAGCTCACCACGCCCCTCTGGCAGCAGAGACAGCACACTGCTCGCTTGTCCTGGCCCACCAATGGTTTCTGCGAAAGGCACGCGTGTCATCGACACACACGAGAGCCGACATGGTGCGTGTGCTCACGAGATACTGCTCCTCCATGCAGTCGATGTGTGGCCCGATGATGGTGAAGTACTTCATGCCCTGCGGAGGCGACGCATACGGGATGTCCATGGTGACTTTGACGTAGTAGCGCACTGTACACGGCCGTGACTCAAACGAGCACGGCAGGCTACTTTCAGGCAGCTGGAACCGGAATGCGAACGCGTGCTGGCCCCGTGGGAGTATGGGTAGACTGCCGTCACTTTTTTCTGCGTGAAGAGCACAGGCAGCATTGAAGGTAGACGAAATTAAAATTCGCTTAGCTACTCTGCGAACATGACCAGAGTTTGGGGACACACAGAGCGCCACCTGTCATCGGCGACAGAAGTGACCTAGTGTAACTGAAAGGAAAATACGCGAAAAAAAATCACATCTGAAGAACAAACTTAGTAAGCAAAAAGGACTTCCTGTTGTACGCAGCAGAAAATTACTGAAACTTCCTGGTAATTTTAAGCGTCACTAGACAAACCACGTGGCTTCCGTGAGTATTTTTACAAATAGGCCCCTTTTGTTACCAAATGGCAGAGTTGAATTGTCCTGGGAACCAAATGCTTCGTAAAACAATACTGCGATTTTTACAGAACACTCCAGTGGGTCTCTGCTGCGTACAATATGGATTCATTTGTGTATAACTAGCTTTTTTCTTCAGATATGATTTTTTTTCACCTATTTCCAATATATTCGCCGCAGAACGCCGTTGCTGCGGCTGATAGATGGCACCACCTACAGATATCCCCAAATTTAAGAAATGAGAATGAAAGAAAAATAAATCTTCATAAGAAAACTACAAAAGTTATCGAATAGAAATGTATAAAGGGTACGTGACGCCAAGAGAAAAAAAAAAGACCAAAGAGAGAGAGCATTCCACACTTACCGCAATGGCTTATATATTCTATAAAGTGGACGGCGGTTTGTCCACCGCCGTAAATCAGTGGTAAAGCATTGAACGCTTTATTCAATGATTGCAGGCTCGGACCTTGCCGGCGCCAAGTTACTTTTTCGTCCACTTTTTTCTTTCTTCTCATTTTCATTACAATTACTTTCATTACCCATAGTTTCCTTGGTGCCATTGTCTTTTAATTCCGATTAGTATTGTGTCCCACAAATAAAATAGGTCTTTAAATTTTTTTTAAATTAGACGCTTTATATGCTGGGCTCCACCAAAGCTTCACTGACATCATTTTCGTTACGAATGGGGCTTGAATAAAATGCACCTGAAAAGATTCCCCCCAAAAAATAGAAAGGAAAATTTACGGCATATCCACGAGACGAATGGTGACAAGTGGGGAAGCAGTGGGAGTAAAAGGCGCACATGCTGAATATATAAGTGTTGTTATGGTGCCACAGACACGCGCAATAATTGCTTTTTATTCGACGATTGCACAAGTGTGAACGCTGAGCCTTGAGCAACATAGGTGGGCGCTGCGGATGGGGTCAGCCGTTTCAGATACCCAATGCTGTTAAGAGTTGACAGACAGACAGACAGACAGACAGACAGACAGACAGACAGACAGACAGACAGACAGACAGACAGACAGACAGACAGACAGACAGACAGACAGACAGACAGACAGACAGACAGACAGACAGACAGACCAAAATTTTTGCGTCGAAGGTCCCCAAGAAAGACTATCGTCTTTAAAAACATACGCACGCTGAAATCTCGCGCTCTCTGCTTTCTGCCTTGGTCTCCACCGCTCGAGGATGGTTGGATGGATGGATGTGGCTGTACCCTTTAGATCGGGTGGCGGCTAACGCCACCTAGCCATAATACATATTGTTCCATGGATGGATCGACTGGATTGATATGACTGTACCCTTTTGATTGGGCGGTGGCTGACGCCACCAAACCGTAACACTTAGATAACGAGAAATTAGATTGATTTTTTTTACTTTAAATAGTGGTGTTGAGGACTCGTACTTTGCAGTGAAGGGTTTTGTTTTCACTTGTGCCTTGACTTTAGCCACCAATCAGATAACCTCCTAGTTAATTCTACCCGCTTAAAGTATATTTTGCCCTCCCCTTTCCTAAACACCACTGCTTCAAAAAACTCTGCGCCATCATCTTGACCTATAGGATGAAGCCCTTTACAGAACATTATCAAGTGTTCGGCAGTTTCCTCTTCCTCTCCACACGCACTGCATACCGTGTCTACCCCTTCGTTTTAGGCCCGATACGTCTTGGTTGGCAATACTCGCGTCCTGGCCTCAAACAGTAGAGAACTACCCCGAGTGTTATCATATATCCTTTTTTTGGCAATTTCCTGCTTGAAAGATCGATACATCTTTAGTGCGGACTTCTTAATCATGGCGATTCTCCACATATTGGTCTCAGCTTCCTTCACCTTCGTCTTAACCAATAATTCTTTTTGGTTTGGTCCTCTGCCATTTTCTAAGTATTTACCAGTCAATTTTCTGGTTCGCTTTCTCCATTTCGTATCGACATTCTTCATGTACAAGTAGCTGAATACCTTCCTAGCCCAACGCTCCTCCCCCATTTCCCTCAATCGCTTTTCAAATTTTATCTTGCTGCTAGCTTCCCTGCCCTCAAAGGATGTCCATCCCATATCACCTTGTACTCCCTGATTTGGTGTATTCCCGTGAGCTCCTAAGGCAAGCCTACCTATTCCACGTTGCTTAATTTTTAATCTTGCTTGAACTTCTGATCTCATGCACAAGATGGCATTGCCGAACGTCAGACCAGGAACCATGACCCCTTCCCATATACCTCTCACAACATCATACCTATTGTAATTCCACAGGGCTCTGTTTTTCATCACCGCTCCATTCCTGTTACCTTTAGTCGTCACGTATATTTCGTGTTACCTTAGGTACTCGGTCCCATTGTTTATCCATACGCCCACGTATTTGTTTTGTCTGTTATCTCTTGCGTGACCTCCTGTATTCTAAGCTCACTACCTTCATTGTCATTAAAAATCGTGACTGCTGATTTTTCCTTACTGAATCTGAAATCTAACCTATCTCCCTCTTACCGCAGATGTCTACCAATCTCTGCAAATCTTCCTTGTTGTCGGCCATTAGCACTATATCTTCTGCGTACATCAATGCTGGTAGTGTCTGTTCAATGAGTTTACCTTGTTTGATGAAAGAGAGATTGAAGCCCAGTCCACTTCCCTCTAATTTGGCCACTTATTCTTGTACGTACATCATGAATAACAAGGGTGACAGGGGACACCCCTGCCTAAGCCCCCGTTTTATACTTCTGTAGGCCTGTATACCTGTTCTTCCCAATTCATAACTGCCTTGTTACATTTATAGATATCCTTTAAAAGATTAATGACTCCATCTTCCACACCTAGTGCGTCCAGTATTGCCCACAAGTCCTCTTGAACCACGCTATCGTGTGCTCCCATGATATCCGAAATTGCAAGCCACAGGGGCCTGTGTTCCTTTTCTACTATTTCGATGTACTGAGTCGGTGAGAACAGATTGGCTTCCAACCTCCCGTGTTTTCGAAACCCATTCTGCAGTTCTGCCACTACCCCTCATCCTCTAACCCTGCCTGAGTCTTCCCTTTATAATCTGCATCGCCAGCTTGTAGACCACTGATGTCACTGTTACAGGACGGCAGTGGTTTATGTCAGCTTTGTCCCCCTTTCCTTTATATATCATGCTCATCGTGCTAAGATTCCATCCATCGGGGACTTCACCATCGATTATTATTTTGCTCACTGCCTCTCTCAAAGCCTGCATAGACTTCGGACCTAATGTCTTTATCAGCATAAGTGGAATGCCATCTGTGCCTGTTGATGTACTACTAGGAACCATCTTCTCAGCCCTTTCCCACTCCCGTTGTGAAAATCGAGCCATTGCGCCACTTCATTCATCCTTGTCTATTGTGGTGCGTAAAGCATTTCTTTGTTTAAGTTTTTCTGTTACCCTTGTTCCTATATATTCAATAGCTTCGTCTCTTCTCGCCTAGCACCTTGAGCTGTAGTTATTATTCTCTGCTCTAGGCTCGTCTCATTTCTTAGGGAGTTTAGTAGGTTCCCAAATTTCGCAGTTGCCTTTTTATCTTTTTTATGTACTTCTGCCAGCCACTGAGCTCCCTTTCTTCTAATCTTTTGATTGATCAGAAGGGATGCATTCCTTCTAAAATTTTGCAGTTGCCTTTTTAACTTTTTTATGTACTTCTGACGGCCACTGAGCTCCTTTTTTCTAATCTTTTCATTAGTCAGAAGGGATGCATTCCTTCTACAGCTTAGAAAGATTTCCCATTTTCTTTCAACCTCATCTGTCGGTTCACCCCGCTGCTTAGCATGTCTGTGTTCCCTAGAGGCTTCCTAATGTTTTGCTATGGCTCTCTTAACTTCCCCAATCCACCAACTCTTGGGTTTGTGTCTTGTTTTCCGGGGTTATTTGTCACGTGCTTTAGCAAGATCTACCTCAAGCGGTCTCATTAGATTCGTGTATGTCCGGACTGCTTTATTATCCTCAGTGATTAATTTCTCAATTTGTTTAGTAGGTATTTCTATTTGCCTTTCTGAATAAAAATTTTCCTGTAGTTGTTCATCTTGTCTCCTTCCCACTTTCACTGCTCTTCCAAAACTTAGCTTGATACGTTTGTGATCACTACCCAGACTTCTGGAGCCACCTTCGTCTATGTGCATTCCCCTGAGCTTATCACACATCCTACGTGACATCAGTGCGTAATTTATCGTCGACTGCAGCCTTCCGACCTCCCATGTTGTTTGCCCTTCACACTTCTCGGTACTGTTGCAAATGATCAAGTCATGTTTTTCACACATACCCATGATCATTTTGCCTGTCGGGTTGGCCTACCCATCTATATCTCCAATGTGCGCCTTCATATCTCCAAGTATAATTATCTCGCACTCTCCACCTAACTCCTGAATGTCATTTGATATACACTCTACTATTGCCTGGTTTTCCTCTCTGGCCTTTGCTCCCTTCCACAAGTACACGAAACCAAGGAGTGTCATTTTCCCTGCCACTTTCCCTTTTAGCCATAAATGTTCCTTGCACTCCTGCTTGACCCTTTGCCAGTCTGTACTTTTATGATTGAAAGCCCCAATACCACCCCCCTTTCTGCTGCCTTCTGTTCTATTACAATATTCCCACGCGTAGTCCGCATTGTTAATAGGTTGTTTCATGTCCCTGAATTGTGTTTCTACAAAACCATATACCATCGGCCTCTCCTCTCTTAGCTGTTCTTCTATCTCTTCCC